GATTCTGTGTGTGGGTGTGTTTGGGCTGTGGTTGGTAGGGAGGCGGGGTTTTTGTGGGTGTGTGAGTGGGGTGCAGCAAGATGGACAGAGGGGGGGGGGGGGGGAGGGAGAGAGGTAGATAAGACAGGGGGGGGAGGGAGGGGGAGAGAGAGAGGGAGAGAGAGAGGGAGAGAGAGAGAGAGAGAGAGAGACAGAGAGACAACCCCGGGGTGTCGAGGGGGGGTTCTTGGTCAGAAGGGGAGAAGGTGACTTGACTTACGCTGTAGATGGGCATGTTGGTGTGAGTTCCTGGTTTGGTACTGTTGTTGTAGAGTTGGCGTTTCCTGTAAGGATGGTCAAATAGATTCAGTGTCAACGGGCGAATGCGGTGACAGCAGAACCATTCTGGCAGTCGAACGGTCCATTATATAGACGCAGAACAGCGCTGTAGTATGTGCTTGACGGGCTCTTCGTCTAGCTTAGGACTGATTGGGTGAGGTGTTGGTTGCGTTCTCGAGACTTCTGTGCTTTGACCACCTGTTTCGCCAAAGAACAAGCCAAGTCTCATAAGCGCGACGAGATCCAAGCCCTAGATCGGATGATCGATGAAAAAAATGCGGAGGTGTGGTAGCCTGCTGGTGGGTGGACAAGGCGGACTCTGGGGGAGGACGGCGGACTGAGCGGCAAATTGGTGGACATATGGTGGAGAGACGGACAATGAAGCGGACGTCGAGTCTCCATTCCGCTAGATGCTAAGCATGACTTCTCTGGCTTCCAGCATCCGTAAATAAGTCCCTGCAGATCATCATTCGTTACTCGGTGAGTCAAAGGAAAAGATGCTGGGCTAGAAGCCGCTCAGGTATGTCTGTAAGTACCTGCAATTTTCCACCTCGTGTCAAGCCGCCTCAGTCCCATCTTGAGAGTCTCCAAACTCCTTGCGTGGTCGCTGTTGGATCTTTCCCTGACCATGCGAACGTAAAACGCCGCGGCTCGGTACTGCCAATGCAGAACGAACGGAGTTACCATCTCGACGGGGAGCGCATTTCCCTGGAGAAAGTGCGCCGACGAAGTTGAGCACGTCTTCGAGACTCGTTCGAGCAGGTCCCGCGCATGATCACGACGTCTCAGTTCGGTGGGCGTGGATGGCTCGATGCGCAGGGCGTCGTCGTACAGGACGAACAGGGAACTTTCGCCCAGATGAGCCCAACCCTAACCTGGCCATGTGTGTCCGGGGGGAATGACACTTACCTGTAACAAATCTGTGCGTGGGCGCCCGCAGGACCTTTGAGGACGCCACTCACCATCCGAATCGACATCTGAATCGCCTTCTCCAGCTGCCGCTCCTGGGTCTCTCGAAACTCGGCTTCCATCGAGTCGTCGCCAACGTGCTGGAGCACACGACAAAGGAGATGTGTTGCCTGTGCCAACTTGGCGAATCGACCCATCCTTTCCGTCGACGGGCACGAGATGGTCATCCTGTCGTGGGGAGTGACCATGCCGGCATCCCAAGCCGCGTCATCGACAGGTAGAAGATCCTCTGGGCTGGGATCGTCGGTCTCAAAGTTGCGTCTGCCCGGACAGCTTATGTTTGCGAAGCGATCGAGGATCAGGATTGCCCACCACAGCCGTCTCTTCTCCTCCGACTGGAAACCATCGACACATTCCGCCGGACTCTCTGTCAAAGTCAGGTGGATGTTCAGAGCCCTTCCACTTCTTGCGCAGGAGGCGATGGACAGGACTGCAGACGGGTAGATCGCATGAGCGAATTCATAGACCGCAATCAGCACAGCTGCCTGGAGGCCACGGATGCTGAAGGCTCCTGCTACCTCGAGCTCGGTTGCGTAGTGCTTTGCAGCCAGATACAACGGCGTCCGAGGGTCTTGTCGTTCCTCCGACGGCCTCCAGATGATCAGTTTCATGCAGAGCAAAAGCAGGGCGACATCCCCTTGTCGTGGCACCAACGGGTTCACGAGGCGGTTGTAGAACGAATGCTTGGAAATGATCGACCACCAACAGTGGACGGTCCGAAAGTATTCTGCGCCGTCCTGTCGAAGTGTGGCAGCATCTCCTAGAAGGGCTGACACGTTTCGAGGCACGGTCGACTGCACATCCGCGACCACCATCTGGCCGCATTTGAAAACATCGCGATCCAGAAAGTAGACGACCACCGCCTCTGCCGGCTGAGGCTCGATTCTTTTTTCCGTGGGGAGAGACACCTCCTCGACCTCCTCCCCGTCCTCCTCTGCTCTCGGGGTAGGGACTCTGCGCTGGGGATAGATGCATTTCCGTCGGTGTCTGTAGAACGATGATCAGTATATGGTGGAAGTCTGCTTGATTGGCTAACCAAGGTAGACACAGGCACAGACTCACCTTCGACAGAGCGAGCACTCGGGTAGAGACCGGTCGCATTTCCGCTTCCTCTTGCGACAGAAGCCGCATGACAAAAAGGCGCGAACCTGTTGGCGCGGAGCACTGGGGCCGGCAGACGGACTTGGTCCAGGCGTAGGGGTGGCGCCGTCATCACTAGCTTCCATATGGTATGGGTTTAGGAAAAATGATGCCAGAAAGGAGAAATTTTCGATGGGTAATGGGTTTCTTTTTGCCCCAGCTGTCGATCAAATGTGCGCCTCGTTGTCCGCCAAATGTGCGCCTCGGTTGATTGAATTCGGAGCTACAGCGGGTGTTGATGGCACGAGTAGATCAGGAACAACGGACGTACAAGGACTGAACTGATTCTCCTCCAATGTCTCTGTAGTCATGCTGAACGAGTGTCACATTTCTATCTAGATTTCCAAATCGGAAACAAATGTCTCTATGGTCATGACTATGTGTTGTCCTTGCGATATTCCACGCCTGTGCCATGCGTTTAGGCTGCCCTCTCGCCCTCTCTGGTTCCTGTCAAAGACACAAGGAGAATCACAGCAGATATCTAAAGTTCCTGTTCTCCTTGTCTGTCATATCAAGGAACTCGTGGTCGGGTGGCAGGTCTTGCGGTTCTTCGCGGTCCCTCTTCTTGTTCTCCCATGCATACAGCAAATCCAGCGTGATCGCCAGCGCAATGGCGACGGCGAGAATCACCACAATGGTAAGCTTGGCTGGGATATATTGGGGGGCATCTTTGGATTGGAAGGTCTCGGGGCCAATGATCTGGACACACAGCGTCAGTTCACTCATTATAGCAAACGCACGATCACCGACGTACATTGCCCACGCAGAAGCTCATCAGTACAAGCGCGTTCATGGTGATCTTCTTCGTATGTCCGGCATCTACAAGGTGTCAGCAACGCACCCCGACATGGCATATGAGAACAACTTACAGTTCGACGTGATCCAGCTGTACAACAGCGGAAGGGCTGGTAGTTGTTAGCAGCGGTCATGAAATGTTGCGGTCAACTCCAGCTTACTCGCGCCAACGGTGTTGGTCATGAAATTGCCGGCTAGCAGGCCGCCCTTATTCTCAGGAGGCAGCCACGCCATCAAAGCCCCTCCAAGTAAGGTCGGAATGGTGAGGACAATGATGGCGATACCCCTACCATTGTATTTGCCCGCCCACCATGTTCCGAACCCGACCGACACAAAAGCAACGGCGCATCCCGGAAGGTTGAGAAGCAGTGTTGTGTATTCATCATAACCGAAGCTTTGGGAAAGAGATTAGTAAGAATAAGTGCACAAGGATCCGTTGTCACGTACTTCTCGATAATGATGCTCGAGAAAGAGCTGACAGCACCGTTGGGCACGTTGGTGGTGATGACAACCAAGCTCAACAGCCAGGTCCTGTAATCGGTGAGCACCTCCTTGACTTGCTTGGTCTTCAATCTCTTGTTTTCAATCCCAGTCTGATTCTCTCGAACTCGCTCGATAATGTAGATCTTCTCTTCCGCTGACAACCGGCTTTTCATAGGGTTGTCTGGGAGGAAGAGCACAACCAAGATGCCGATAGCAATTGTGATGATCCCGAAGACCAGGAACAATATTTGCCATGACTTGAAATGGAGATGTGGGTGGGAGTTGGTGTAGTGGAGGAAGCCATATGAGGCCAAAGAAGACACGGCCGGCGCTACCGATGTCTAGAGCATATCTGTTAGCTACATCCATACCCAGTATGTGACAACAGGAGGTCTCTGAAAGAGAACAGTACGAACCCCTTGATACCAGATCCCCATCCGTGAAACTTGTTCATGCCGTTTGTACCACATGGCCGTGAGGATAACAAGGCTGCAACTGTCAGACGCATTTTTAGGCCTGGGTTGTCAAGACACTTGCCTAGGAGCGACACACGACTCGAACACCCCGAGCAAGACTCGAAGGGCGACGATGGATGCGAAATTGTGGCAGACGCAGTTCAGGGAAACCACGATGCCCCATAGAATCACTGCATCATTAGTCCACTTCATCATAAAGTCACCAATCTGCCACTTACCATTGCAGCCCAAGTACTTCGCAGTCGGGAACTTCTGGATGAGGAAGGACTGGAATGGCTCGCAGAACAAAAACGCCACATAGAAAGCGATTGCCAAATTCGAGAACCCGTTCGACGGCATATGGGTGTCCTCAATGACCCCCATGATCGCAGCATAGGAGACTATATCATTGTTAACAACCGTTAAACTAGTTTCGCCACACATAAACTCACGCAAAGTCTTGTCGGTGTATTGCAAATAGTAACAGGCAAACATCAACGGCATGATCATCCAATCGACCTTTCGCATGAGTTTCTTCTCATCAATATCAATCACCTGTCCAGCTTGGGCGTTGGCCCGCAGAAACCCGAGGGCGGCGTCCACATCTCTGTAGTCGACGAGTTTCTCGTCGATGCTCTCGACAGAGGTCACTCTGGTCTGGTGCGTTTCGATGTCGTCCTTCATTTCGTGGACTGACCAGAGAGGAAGTGCTTCTGATGCAAAGGCATAGTGACACCAAAGCACATCTCACCTCCAAGATATATCTAGCTCAGCGTATATGAGCTATGTTCGGCCATATGCCGACAGACTCGCAGCTGCCCATCATGGGGGATTATCTCGAAAATCCAGAGATACAACCAATCACCTTGGAAGTCTGCACGCGACATGCCGACACAATAGTTCTCGACCTGCCATTGTAAGAAAGGTCAATCAGTAGAGTCAACGGCGGTGGAACCTGACCGAGGCGGCATGGGTGGGCATCGCCGTCGATCCCCTTGTCACTCTCCTCAGGATCTGCAAGTGCGGAGATCGAGATAACAAGGGATCAAGATATGTAATGCCACAGCGCCTCCCATGCATCCCGGCATATCCAAATCCTTTATCACCTGCCATTTATCGCAGCGAGTGACGCCGGAGATGAGCGACATTGGGATATGCTTCTTGGGACATGTATAGAGTCAGTCGCGCGGCCGCATCAAGGGCTATTCCTCTTTATGGCAGGAGGCGCCGTTCGCACTCTACAGCCTTCCTGATAACACGGATGTTTGAGCCAGAGCCTTTGAGGTCTGGGTGGGTGGTAGCTCTATTTCTCGTGGAGACGTTGACCCCCTCAACAATAATATTGACTGACGAACAACTAACTGGAGACAATGATTTTGGTCACCGTGCATAAGCGAATGACACATTGGGGGTTCAGTTTCGGCTCGAGAAGGTGAGGTACATAGGAGCAGGGCGCTTGTGCTGGTACTGACTGGTCCATTGAGGCTGGGCACTGAGAGAGACATTCTGCAACCGGGGTTTCCGGTCTTATTGTTAGCATTCTCTCGAGAGGAAGATAGAGAGCACCCTGCATTTGGTAGAAAAGGATAACACATTGTTACCCGTGTGGAATAGAACCGCGAATGGAGAAAGGAGGAAATTAAGTCTGGTTTTTGGCGCAGCTCCACAAGCCAAGGCTGCGCACATTCTTCATGAACCACTGTCGACCGCTCTGCTCGTATTTCTTCGCTTTTCAGCCATGGCGACCTTCATTGTATATCAACCTCGAGTAAATGCACCGCCCTTCGATAACTACACTTTCAGGTGTAATGCGTAAGTATCAGAGATTCGGAACTAGAGCAAGTTTGGCATGGTCTGACGCCACACGGACTAGGATCAGCGGGATGAGTCTTGGGGCTGGGGGAGTGGATTCGTGCCCAGGTGGCCAGAGCCTGTAATAATGGCACCGATTTAACCCTCCTGATTTCTTTTCTAAACAAGATCATCTCCATCTACGTTGATTGATTGCTGTACCATGCAAGATGACTCTTCCTTACCAGTTCTTCCGACCGACGGACTTGAGTGGCTTGGGATTGGAGTCTCAGGCATTGTATACTCTCTCGACGAGCACACTGTCCTAAAACTCGCTCCTACAAATGACAATAAGTACGCTACCGAGGAAAGCCTTGAAGATCTCCAGATCTCCAGATCCGTATACCAGCATCTAGGGTCTCAGCCCCGAATATGTCGATATATCTCCTCCGTCCAACGGGGAATTATTCTGGAGAGGTTTGGTGAACCACTCCGGAAGTATCTCCTAGAACTTCATAAGCAGGAGAAGACTCCGTCGTATAATCAGGCTCTCAAGTGGTCTTGTCAAGTCGCAGAGGGCGTGGCATTTTTACACCAAAAAAACATCGTACAAGGAGATATCGGCTGTCACAATGTTCTTCTAAAATGAGACGAGATTAAGTTATGCGACTTTGGAGGCTCCTCAATTCACGGAAAGCCAGCAACAGCTGGTTACGAATACCGATCTCAACGTTGGGACGATACTTACGAGAATCCATCCATTCAAAGCGAACTCTTCGCGCTTGGTTCCACTATCTATGAAATTTGGACGACCACGCGGCCTTACCAAGATGAACCCGACGAGATAGTCGAGCAAAATTACAAATCTCAGTGCTTTCCTTCAGCGTCAAAACCCTTCCAGTTGCTGAAATCGTCCAAAATTGCTGGCATGGTACTTATCGTTCTGCGGATGAGGTTGTCGCCGCCCTTACATCGCTTTAGACCGAACAAATGAGGCCACACATGTCCACCACCAATGCTAAGAACCGGACAGCACTCGCTTTTTTTGCCGGCATCATTACTACCTTAATTCTAGTAGGATGGCTCTACCAGATACAGTTGTAACCCAACCACCTTTCGAGAGAGTTGGCTTATCCATATGTCTATATGGATATCAGACTCATATCTTTGGACGGCGTAGCCAAGGCAAGCTTACCACAAGCATTTCTCGCCGTTCGCCCTGACACACTGGACATTCTCGGTTCCGCCTTGGATTCTACTCTCTTTACGTACGACCGACCTTCTGTGTTCTCGGGACCCTCAAGAGCTTCCACGACCTCTCCCGACCTCGGCCGAGATTCGAGAGGCTGAAGTCATTCTCACGAAAAGCGAGAATTATGGTAGCATCTTTGGACGGGTTGAACTAAGACGAGGTCATTTCGTTATCAAACATTGTCGCTATATCAAGGAAAGCGAGGGAACTGCGCTTCTCTTCCTGGAAGAAATATTGTCCGTCCGTCCCTGCGCCTCGGCTATACGTAATGTATCGAGAGAAAGATATCCTCTACCTCATAACGCAACTACTCCCAGCACAGAGTCTTCGGGATATATGGGATACACTGATAGAGACCGAAAAGGGCTCGACATATAACCAGCTAAGGAGCGATTTGGCCAAAATACACTCGATAACATCACCAAACGTTTTTTTGCAGCGTTATGGGAGGACCTATTCCCCATAGATTTTTCGATTGGTTTGGCCAGGAACCTCAAATTGTTGACCCCTTCAAGTCATCGTCAGAATTTCATCGGGGGATGGCGCTCCATTTGAGAAAGCAATATGAGCTTAATGACCGACGACCACGGAGTCAATTTGAGCGGACCTTGACGGATCATATATTGCAATTCTGTCTGCACTCGTGGCAAGAACAGGTTGACAATAATCCTCGCCCTTCGAACGACTGTGCAGCATGACACTATTCGGCGCCAGCCAAAGATGGCGAGGTAGTGTCTCAATCGCAAAGGTTTCGTTCACTCCGTGCCGCACAAGAATCTGCCTGAGCTCTTGCAAGATTGACGACACGACCGTGAAGGATTGCTCATCGATATGTCTTATGGTGTTGTAGAACTGTGCCGACGACCTCTGCCCTTTCTCCGTACATGCCATTTTGTCTGGTGCGGCCGACGGTAAGATGCTTGGGAGACTGCTTGAATTGGAGCCTGGCCGCGGACTGCATCACAACACTAATGTCAGAAATAGGAAGACTTGGACGAATTCAACTTGACCCATCGGAATGTCATCTTCGAAGAATTGGATGGATTCCTCTCTGTTTCTCGAAGTTCACTGTTTCTGGTCTGCGGTCCCGTCCCAAGTCAGTGTGGTTCGTGCATGAAAAAGGTAAGTTTGGATTCTACGCGACGACCGCGGGAAGGTCGACCGAGGGGGATGATCTTGGCATCGAGTGAAGAAAGCCTCCAAAAGCGGCGGCACTGACTGCCACATCCGGCGGGAAATTTCCCTGCAACCTGCGTTGAGCTGTAAAGTCCCATGTATCTGAGATAAATTCCTATTCAGATATAGGCAATCCTCAGTAGACAGTAAAATCTCTACCTAGACACTGAGCTTGATACGAATCCGACGTACGGGAACAAGTATTGGAGGGTACGAGGTACGTATGCGGAAAATGCTATTGACTAATACTGGCATTGGTAACGTCATGCAGAATACTGTTTACCATTACAGCGTTGGAAGGATACTCGGAACCTACTTCGCGTCGTGAAAATCAACCCGATTACTCTCATCAAACTCTGACGATTCTAGAATGCCAAATGAATTACCACTCCTTAGGGGTCACATCACCCTCGATCGAGCTCTCGACGAAGATGACAACATTCTCGCGCAACTTGAATATCCAGCGCAAGAGCGAGAATTTCGGAGTTTTCTGTCCGCTCGCATGACCGAAATCGAGGCCATTGTGTCCTTTCACCTTGGCAGCAGTGATTTTCAACTGGGCGATGAAGAAACGTGGATTTCGGGTAGCTACAACGTCTGCATCCCCGTGTATTTCAGTCCGGCCTCTAAGAAAGATGATGTCTATGTCAGGATACCGTTGCCGTACAAAGTTGGGGAGAGAAACTCTCCCGGCAATGTCGAGGAGAAGCTTCGGTGTGAAGTTGCTTCCTACATCTGGATTCAACAAAATTGTCCGGACATCCCGATTCCTGCACTCTATGGATTTGGGTTTCCGGACGGTCAAACGGTATGTCTCCCCGTTACGGCGTGCAACGGATTGAGCTGACACCGTTATTAGTTCACTGCACCCGAAAATGTTCCGCGCTTCACTCGACTCCTGTCATACGTCAAGCGGACCTTGTTTTCGTGGTTTGGAACAGCTACACCAAGTCGATACATCCGCCGACGGCGTCTAGATATTCTGAAGACTGGATATATCATCATCAGTCGAGTTATCGAGGGAGAAATGCTCTCGATCTCGTGGGATTCCTTCCGCCACGACGCAGTTCGTCGCTCAAACCTGTTTCATGATATAGCCCGGATTACCCTGTCATTGAACAAAGCTCGTCTCCCTCGCATCGGCTCTTTGTCCTTTAACGACAGCGGCCATCTCGCCCTGACCAACCGTCCCCTAACACTACGCCTGCAGACCTTAGAAAATGAAGGCATTCCTACTCCTCTTGATCGGAATTCTACCTACACAGTTGTCGAGCCTTATGTTTTGGACCTCTTGGCGTGTCACGATCATCGGATTCACCACCAACCGAATTCAATTCATCATCATGACGATGGAGAGCAGCAACTTGCCGCTCTAACGATGATGCGTGCCATCATGCATCATTTCTTGGATCCAACGTATCGACACGGCCCTTTCGTCTTTACTCTTACAGATCTCCACCAAAGTAATATTTTCGTGGACAAGGATTGGCACATTACTTCTCTGATTGACCTAGAGTGGGCCTGCTCTCTCCCCATTGAATTCCAGTGCCTGCCCTATTGGCTTTCGGGGCGAGCTGTGGATGAACTGACCGGAGAACGCCTGGACACTTTTCGCCGGTTGGCGACGGAGTATCTGGACGCCTTCGAGCAAGAGGAGAGACGAATCCTGGGGACGAACCTGTTTCAAACGCCGATAATGAGAAAGGGCTGGGAGACGGGGAGCTTCTGGTACGTCCACGCAGTAAATAGTCCAAAAGGACTCTTTCGACTATTCAACGACCATCTACAGCGGATTTTCTGCCCTGAGCATTGCACCACGAAGGTCTTTGATCAAGTAGTGGCTCGTTACTGGAGCGTAGATGCAGCAGCTGTGATAAGGGCAAAGCTCGACGACGAGACAGCGTACAAACATCGATTGGAGAAGGCGTTTGCAGACAAGCTGAACATTCTCGGGACTCAGCCTAGAAAGTAACGGATCCTGGGTGACGAGCATCCCGACACGGCTGACACTTAAGGATGCAATGATTCGTCCGTCGTCACACCTCTGGCCTCGATGGCAGCGTTGGTGATTCGTGGCTAGTGCGCAATTCATTTTCGTCGAAATCGGGGCGCAAGGGTGTCATCACCGTTGATCGATATCGAATAGCTCGGTTATGACAATGAACAGGCACAGGTGCGTCCTAACCGGCCGAGTCGAAGCTGCATGTTGCGTATCAGCTCGAATTCTCTGCATGGACAAAACGGATTTCGACAGCTAACTTCCCGAAGAGGTAGGAAAGATTGTATGTAATGGGTTACATGCCAGATCGCAATCCCAAAGGCCACTAAGAGCGCAGCGCACTACAACACTGGTATCGATTGCTTGCTCCGTACACCGTACCGGCAAGATCGCGCAGCCATCCTCGGGCATATCTGGACGTGGTCAGTCATGCCCATCCCTGTCGACATGCAATCACGGGACGTTAAGCCCCCTTGATGTTGAACTGAGGAAGGATGAAAGCTTCTTTTCTTGAAGATCGACATGGGGCACATATTTGCTCGCAGAAAATTCTAGGGAGAACGGCAGCCCTCGACAGAGCGTGTTGACACGGGGCAAAACACAACTGAAGCTATTAGACACTTGCTGTAAGTGGGATAGTTGTTACGCGTCTCTTTGGGATTCCGACCCAAGCACGACTGAACAGACCCACAGGCATACCAGGAGAGTCTCCGATCTCAATCTCTCCTGGACTGATACCCGGGGACTAACATTGTATCATTGCCACCCTCACCTCACGTCGGCGCGCTATGACGACTATGTCAACCGAATTGCCTCCTCTGAGATCTAAAAAGAGATACTGCAATGACTCGATCTGCCATGTGAGCCATGACCAAAGGCATACATCTCGCTTTAAAGCCGCCTCCCCTGTGCATCACAACGAGAGCAGCCTATACCTGCGCGCCATGGAGTCCTACACTATTCCCGGCGTTTGGCCACTAGTCTGCACCAATTATCAACTACCAATTGTACAAGTAGTTGCCCGATGTGATGAATCCGCGGAACCCGGCACCTTTGCACGCTGTGGCCGCAGAGCTCGGGGGCGATACATCTACCTTCCGTTGTGCACACTGGATAGAGCAACAGGGTCTTTTAGCAACAGCTTGATTGTCGGCTGCACAGGCGCTGAGTCAGAGGTTGCACACCTTCAAGGTCTTCGCCTCCGTGATCATAAAAAAGATTTACCAAGCACACACGAGAAAAGTGTCATCAACAATAAGAAGAATATGGGTGGTTGTCGTACGCTTTACCTGTTTGGAAGACGAACCAGTCGAATGACGGCAAATGCTAGCCCAGAGTCTATATTTAGCTCTCGTGGCAAGAAGTCTGACCAACCATATCAACCCGATCAAACTCCCCATGTTCCCCTGTCGGTCAATGAGCCGTCAGATTAGTCCTGCGACAAGGACGAAACAAGTCAACAAGTCGGAAAGTCGCCGATGGCTTTCCAGGATCTGGTTTGGTCTCTGAACTTCGTCGATCCATCACAGGAGGCTCAACCCGCTCATGCCACGCAATGCGCCATATACATATCTAGAGGCCGCCAGGAAGAGCATGTTCTAGTATCCTCGAAAGGAAGCTTTGCTATAAAGAAAAACCGCCAGCCTGCTGGAAGAAACCAAGTCGATATTGATGGTCTGAGTGCCTGCGGGAAACATAACCTCCACCCTCTCCGCATCATTGAGCACATTATCTTTGCTATCCTCCCCCACGGCCCAATATGAAGTCCAAGCTTCTAGGAGCAATGTTTTTTGCCGTTTCTGCGAGTAAGTTGTCCTCAAAAACCGATAGTTCGCACTGTGGCTGACAATGGATCATATCAGTGGCAGCAGCAACGGTGGCAGAGTCTGAACAAGATTCTTCTCTCCAGAAGCGAGCGTTTTACGAGGACGGCTACAAGGTCTTCATCCGCAAACGAAATGCACACGCCTGCATGATGTCCATCGCCTTCATCGTCCTGTTCCCGCTGGGTGCCATTTCCCTTCATCTCCCACTGCGAGGTGTTCGCGTGGTCAAGTTCATCCACGCGCCGATACAGATCCTGGGGTTGGCGGTAATGATTGGTGCAATGGGGCTGGGTATCGACATTGCAGATGTTGATCTGAACTATTTCTCCAGTAGCACCTCTACCAAGGCCCACGTGGTGATTGGGCTCCTCGCGACATCGGCGCTGATTCTCTTTCAGCCGGCACTGGGGCTGTTGCAGCATCGTTATTTCAAGAAGACAGGCAAGAAGAGCATGTTCGCCTACATCCACCGGTGGCTCGGCCGCATCGCAATCTGTCTAGGCTGGATCAACTCAGGCTTGGGTTTCCAGCTGGTGCCCATCTCGTTGGTCGCCACTCACTCTCTGGTACGAAACTTTGTGATCATGGGAGTCTTGGGAGGGATTTGGTTCTTCCTGATCGGGTGGGATGGATACCGACACCACTGGGTGAAGAAGAACAAGATATCCGCGTATCGGCTCGGCTGGGATAAGGGCGTGGTGCTTCGAAGTCAGGAGGCGGAGGAAGAGGGCATCAAGGAGGCTGGCAATTCCGCGGCTCCGGTTGCTCACAGATAAGGGAACAAAGTATTCTTATAGATCTACAGTTTTGTATTGTACGGAGGACTTCGGTATCTACCAAAGTGCCTTGTCGCTGTAAAGTCGTTGCCAGGAAATCCGCCTGCGGTTTAGGCGGCCCTGCGCCTTCGGGTATGGTCGCGGGCTGGGCGCGCCGCCGCTTTTGACGTCTATCTTAAAGGAGACATCCTAGGCATTAGTGGCAGAAAGGCACACCTGTACATAGCCAATTCGGGCTGGGAGTACCACTACTTTCCTGGGAGCCGCATAGGTGAGTTCAACCGGAGTTCTGCATGGATATGAGTTGAGACGGGAGATGCTCAATGAATAGGTACTTTGTGCCGTTTCCGTGCTCGAGACGCAGGTCAGTGTCAGCCTCGAGCGAAGCTGAAAGAACTTTGGAAAAGACCTCTCCGGATGAGGCTATGTGACAAGGCAACCATGTTCGACTAGTGCAAGCAGGGGGCTATCAGGCGAACACGCCACGTCTTCGCGGGGTTTATTTATGGGTTAGGATGCACAAGGACACACTACGATGCAGGGAAGAGTTTTGAAGTACGAGGGACTCACGCCCATACGACAACCTGCAGGGTTCTCCATACAGACTCCTGAACCGCCAGATTCGCTGGTTTGCTTTTGACCTTGGTCATTCCAGTCAACCTCTCAGCCTCTACTACGGCAAATATATCTTGGATGTCTTTTGAGCTTACGACATACTTAGCAGCTCGACAGCTCTGGTATCGCCATGCCTCCAAGTTTGGATACACTATCCGGAACCGTGTCTTCAATATGGAAGCGCCTCTTCAGAAATAGTTTGGATTCGTTCACCTATACGCCACTGCATGACGATGATGAGATACGTCTCCTCATTCTTGCGCCGCGGCCTCGCAATAGTGAGCCATTTGGCAGTCGTCGGCTTGGGGACAGTATTCAACATGTTCGTCTCTCAGCCTCGCCCTTGTATACTGCCGTATCTTGGATGTGGGGCAAGCATGGCGATCGAGTCGACTTTGAAGTTGATGGTCATACTCTGAGGGTGCAACGAAACTTGAAAAGGATCATTCAACACTTACGACATGATTCTCAAACCCGTCGAGTATGGATCGACGCTGTCTGTATCGATCAAACGAGCATACAGGAGCGCAATCATCAAGTTCAAATGATGGGCAGAATCTACGGAAACGCCAATTATGTCGTTGCTTGTTTGACTGATACGAATGCCTTAATAAGAAACCCATTTGACCTACAAACACCCAAGAACGCTAGTTCCCTCACCCGTCGTGAGGCTTCGGATGTACACAGCACGTTGTATTACACGCTACACGAGACAGAGGAGATGGGTATTATAGGCAGCTCTAGTCGTTACCCGAACCCCATCTCCCAGTGGAGCCGCTTCCTCGAGAATGAGTACTTCACCCGCCGCTGGATAATCCAAGAAATCACTCTAGCCCAATCAGTCACATTCTGCTGTGACGGATATCTAATGCCGATGAGCACCGTCAGGGAAGCCATCCAGAGCTCGAGAATAAGGAGACCGGACAGCGGTCCTTCTGAGTTGCACCATCAAGCTATGCGGCTTTGTTCCACGGACCCACAGACATCGTCTTACACCTCAATGGAAGATCTCCTGTACTTGCACGAAAGGGCAGAGTGCTCGGATTTTCACGACAAGGTCTATGCATTAATTTCACTGACCCCTAATGCACAAGTTCATCTCCCAGTTGATTATAATGCCAGCCGGGCCCAGCTTCTGCTGACGGTCTTCAATTTCTCCCTCACATACCAAGACTTGTCAACTTTCCGAATCCTGGGCTTCATGTCCTTCCTTCGACAACATCTTGAAGTTAGCAGGGAAGAGCTGCACGGCAGCATCCACGATCCCGAGACTCCATTGTACTCTACCAATATCGCCGTCCGGGGTATCGTGCGCGGTTGGATCTCAACTGCCCACCCCGGGCTTCGTGAGGAAGAGACAGCCCTTCGAATCCGCGACCGATTGCCTGCCCTTTTCCCTCTCCGCAGACTTTTACTGAACGAGAAAGGGCCTTAACCAGTAGTCGAAATCGATCAGGAGGGCTTGAGGGACCCGCAGCCTGGTGCAATCGTCGGGATTCCCGGAATTGACCAGAATCTATTTACCTTGACCAACCATAAACCTGGAGACTCAAGGAATGGAGACTCAAGCGACCGGGCTACAGGCTGGGGATCGCCGCCGAAGTACAAGCCCACCACCCAGAGCTCTGTTTGTGCCGGTCTTGCGTGCACCAGAGTCCAGTATGGCGACGAGATCTGGCAATTTGAAGACACACCCGTGGCTGTCATAGCACGCAAGACTGCACGAGGCTACTCGTGGATAGGACGAGCTTTCCTCATCCGTGACCACCAAAGAGATAGGTCATCATTGAAGAATTCAATAGCGTGGATCAGGGACAGCACAAAACATTCACGGGCCACGCCCGTCATCCACGTTGATTTGAAGGGGCTGTATGAGCTGATGACTTGGGTCAACCTCGACCAATAACGAAAGCCATTTTCATCCCCGATAAAGGATTACCTTGTAACAGGACAGCTAGGGTAGGATTGAATAGGCAACAGCCTAAAATGAGTGGACTACACCCACTGCTTCCACGGACGCCCATCTACAGACTACACGGGCTGAATGCAAGTTGGTCAGCAGCGTCTTCCCTCCACAGGTCCCCCATAGAGTGCATCCCACTTACCGTGTCCACTTCTTCATCACTTCCTAAATATTTTCCTTCGTGGAGTCTGCATGTGACTTCTTCACAGCACCCTTCTCAGCGAGTTGTTAACGATGTCGTCGATAGTGCTCTGCCGAATACTGGGCTGCTAGTCTCTGAGCGCGGGGTTTTACGGCCATACTACCTCAGGGAAGATCCTCTTTTTCCCTCACTCCTTCTCTTTACTACCAGCGGTAGATGATGCGAGGCCGGCACTGATAAGTAAGAGAAGGTCAGGAGAGAAATTGGTCACAGACAGTAAATTGATAAGACTCTCGGCGTCGGGTCTAGACATCAAAAGTTGGGGAGAGTCGCCGGAATGTATGAAAGGAGGGCAATGAGAGGCGGCCTGAGTCGATTTTGCGAAGCATCTGTCGAAGTTCTCGCTGTGGCTTTGAGGAAATCTCAGAGAGGGAGCATCCTCGTCGGGTCCTCGAGGTGCCATGGTCAGGGTAGGGGAGTCGAAGGCGCCCATCGTTCTCGAAGAGCGGGATAGATCCCTTGCTGATTCTGAAGGGGGACTGTTTCTCGTCCCCATCGATGGTTGCATGGTTGCGTGGTGCATGAGGGCAAGTCGGCCTGAGCAATGGACGGAGGATGATTTGGGTAGACTGAGATGCGGTGAAGGGTGGGGAGGATGCAGGGGACCTGATCTTAGCATCGAGGGAAGAAGACCTTCAAAAGCGGCGTTGTTGGCCGCCAAATTCGGCGGGAAATTTCCCTGCAACCTGCGTTGAGCTGTAAAAACACCAAATAGAAATGGATGATGACCGGAAAGACACGCTACGAGATACTAAATATGGAATAGTGTGCGTTCCCTCTTATTAACCGCTACTTGTGTAAGTCTAGCGAGGCTTGGCAGCTTGGCATCAGCGGAGAAATACTATATAGGGAGCCTCGCTCCCCTTTTCCAAAGACACACCTTTTCCAACGAGGTTCCGCTTCTATCCTTCATCTGCGACCTGTACAATTCCAAGTGGCTCATGGCCGGTGCTTCCCACCCCGCTTCTCCTCATACATTTCAACCAAGTCCGTCCCCACTGCCCGACCTCTCCTTCTCCCAGAGCCACTCTTTACCCTTTTCTCTCCGTTCCAGGTCGTCGACCACTCGTGTCGACTGGCGCTAGCAGATATGAACTTCGTGTCTCATTTCGATGAGTGGCCCAAAAGTGGCCAATACGAGGTCTCGGGTCACCCATCTGACGTCTGACAACCCCAGACGAAGCTGAGCAGCGGGTCTCCTCTTGCCTCGCACCATCTGCTGGCTCGTGCGAAGCAAAAGCTTTCATGACTTGTTTCTCAACGACGGCTCTCGCCCTATCCCAGCGTGGTCAAAGGTAGGTCTTTAGTGTAGACCATTCCACTAGCTAATCTTGATGCATCACGATGCTTTTTTGCGGAAATCGACCTCCCATGCAGCGGATGTGCTAGTCACTGGATATCCAATCAATGTTCCACACAAGACGAAGCCCGCTGGTCTTACTGACAAATCTCGACGACCCTCACCAACTGGAGTATCTCTCGCCCGAATCTGCTACTCTTTTTCAACATGACGACAGGAACTATACCTTTTAGGAGCACGCGTACTTTTCAGTATTGGAGGGGTTAAAGCTTCAGCCAGGTTACGGGAACCTTGCTATGAAGTGCTTGTGGGCATCACACCACCCAGATGTAAGCTGGGCTTCTGCAGAGCTATTCGAAACGGCTTGGGCGCGTCGTTTAGGCTGTTCCGTGCGAGGGTGTGATGTGTGAATCGAGAGGGAATCTTCTGCACCTTGTCCTGAGGCATGATATAAGGCCCGCAGCACCCCGCGCCCACGAGCAGTCTTTCTCGATTCATTCAACTAACGGCCAAGATGGAGATACGCAACCGACCTGATGAATGGAAAATCGAACAAGGCTTGTCTGGAGCTAAGCTGCCGTTTCTGGATCAGACGGGGCCTGAACCAGTGTTTATCCAGCCCAGAGCATGGCCGGAGTTGACCAAGGACCAAGCAGCCATCGATGCTGTAGGTAACCGTGATGAGCTGTTTACTCGCGAACTCGAAGGATGGAAAGGGTGCGTAACCTCCTTAGGCTGGGGACAATGATTGACTCGGTCTTAGATACGTGGAATGGGAGAAATACCCAGAGAAGAAGGAAAAGGCGCACAAGATCCTGACCTCCCAGGTGTTTCCGCCAAATCCGGAGTTTCAAATGGGACCTATTCCAGACACGAACCCCGTACTCCCAGGCACACACTGGAAAATGTGGCACCACGCAGTCGGCGGTGAGCTTACTGATGTCCCTGAAGACTCTTGGAGCACTGTCCTTCGCGAAAAGCACCCGGAGATGCTTCATCTGCTGCAGTTCCCCTACAATGGAGAACCTCCCAAGAGGCTGGTGACCGACAAAGCGGTGACGCCGAATTCGCTTCACTTTGTGCGAAACCACGGCGGCATTCCACTCATCGACAAAGACAAATGGAGGCTGGATTTGGACGGGTTAGTCAAGAATCCGCGAACGTTCACCTTTGACGACATTACGGACGAGTCGAAATTTCCTCGCATCGAAAAGTTCGTCACGATGCAGTGCTCGGGGACCCGACGAATTGAGCAAATCTCCCTCTATGCAGGCCAGGGAGATGAGGTCCCTCAGGCTCCATGGGCCGAGGGGGCCATAGGTACAGCGAAATATCTCGGGATCAACCTGAAGGATGTCATAGAAGCCTGTGGGGGTCTCATCAAACCAGCAAAACATCTCGAGCTCTACGGTGCCGAGACCTACTTTAAGGACAACGAAGGTCAGTACGGTTGTGAGGACGAGGACCTTGGAGGGCAATGTTGGCTAATGAATTAATTAGTCATGAACTACGTGGTGAGCGTCCCATGGTCCAAAGTCAAATACGACGAAGTTCTCCTCTGCTGGGAGATGAACGGGGAGCCACTCCCAGCCATTCACGGCTATCCGGTGAGAATCATGGTGCTGGGGTATATTGGTGCTCGAAGCGTGAAATGGGTATACAGGATCAAGGCTATTGAGAATCCCTCACTCGCACCAGTCCAAAGCAAAGAGTATCTCTATTTCAAGTAAGTTGGTTTGGACTATTGCCCTCTTTGCCACGCCCAGGCTGACCAGAAATAGCCAGCAGACGGGCAAGCACAACCAACAACCAACGGACGGCATTCAGATTCAGGAAATGCCGGTGAGCTCCGCCATCATGTCTCCGTGGACCAAGCAAGTGGTGATTCACAACGGCAAGATTCATTGTAAAGGCTGGGCGTATTCAGGCGGTGGGAGATGGCCGGAGCGGGTCGAACTGTCGGCCGATGGGGGTTTCAGCTGGTATGCCGTGCCCAACGCCAACCTCTCCAAGAAGGGCAAATGGACCTGGAGGACGTGGTCGATTGATCTCCCCTGCGACGTGGAAGGCTGGATCGAAATCGTCTGTCGATGCTGGGACAGCTCGTTGAATACGCAACCCCTGACGGTCCGTGCGGCATGGAATTGGGGACTCCACGTCACGCATTCAGCACACCGGATCAGCGTCTATAGTATCAACAAGACTCGAGCGCGCACGGCAGAGAAGCTGAAGCAGTTTGAGGCCACCGGCTCGCCATTGGCGCCTCTCACCTGGCCCGAGGAATTCCCCACGCAGAGCTGGGATGACTACAAGAAGTTCTGGGAGGAGAACGAGCCTCGGGACGTGGATTGAATGAGTGGGATGAGTATACTTGCGGGGAATTTCTCTGTCCATCCTTACTGCTACTGCTGTACACGAGTAACTTGATCAACATGACGCCACGTACTATATTTGATACCGCCTACCACTTTACTTGGCTGCAACCATCGTGATCGTGGGCCAAAGCTATGGACAATATGGATCAACAGCAAACACTACTCCCTTGACGACCCTCGCTCAACAGGTCCAACTGGTCGAAAGTTTCTGCATCTTTGAGTTTTCCCCTCCCCACGCTCATCTGCAAAGCGACTGGTGTCTAGGCACCCTAGGCTAGAAATCATGCACTCTAAACCCCTTGCAGGATTCGCAAGCTGGCCATTGGATGCGAGTTACCGAGTAGCTTGAAAGCTTCTGCCCCCTTGGGTTGACATGCCCCAGCTCGTCAGGGACTAGAGCATTCGCGCGAAGGCTTCGTGCGAAAGGCTTTCGACACCACAACCGACCCTTGCACATGTTCGGGGATACCAACTGATCCCAACCATTGTCAAGTGGGGGATTTTTGGAGTCCCATGCTCCAGTCTTCACGTCTCGCATTGAGCGGCAGCCCCGGACTGCAAGCATGGGATGTCGTTGGCCTGACCGAAACGCAGCAAATCGAGTGCGAGCCATTTGACAATCAACTTCTCGACTCGGAGCGTGTCGAGAACTATGCACAGTCAGTGGTCGCAGGGCTGGTGACAAATCTCCCGGGATTAGACTCTGCTCAATGTATCGAGATGGTGTCGTACTTGGGTACATGGGTATATGATGTATAAGTATACTGCAGAGGGCCGTCACCACTTCAAGTGCATCTCATCAGAAGATCCGTGGAGATATCCCCGTGACACCAACTTGGTCCAAGCAGAGCAGACATGTCTCAGCCTCACTACACTCTCGCCGAGGGTATCCCCCTGCCTCGAAACGACATCATCGACCAACTACCCACGGGATCAGGAGGTGGTTATGTCCTCTTGACAAGCACCCAGCTGCTCGAGAACCTCGCACACTTTTCTCGTGAGAGAATCCCCGAACGGACGGTCCACGCAAAGGCCGCGGGCGCCAGGGGCTACTTTGAAGTGACGG